CTCTGATGAACCGATTCTTGGCATATGAGGGTGTCAGCCTGTCCAAGCTGATCAACTTGGCCAGGTCAGGCATGTCATGTTAATCTGTGTGTGTGTGTGTATGACTGATTTGGTGCCTGGATGAACCCAGCCCCACTGAAACTGAGTCCTGCAAGATAGCTCCATTGGTCGTGAGGACTTGCAGAAAGGAGATATACAGCTCCACATAGAAGCACAAACAACACAAGCAGCACATTAATAGAATTACAAAGACCCTAAAAATGTATCCCCAATAAATGAGCACACCCCAAAGTGATGGGCAAATCTGGTAACACACAGTAGTTAAATTTGGCACCACGCTGTAAATATGCAACTCGAAGCATCAAATCACATTTGTGGGGTGCATTTTGTGGTGGCTCAAAAGTCTCTGAAGCACTGCTAAACACACGTGCTTGCTCCTGTGGATGCAGCCTATGTGTATGTGACTCAGTAAACAGACAAGCTACAGTATCAGGCTGATTTTGCATAACAGAAGCCTGCATTTGCATCTCAAGGGGAGCCAATATCCTATGCTGAAATCTGTCCAGAACCAGATGCAGCAAGCTGCACTGGCAAATGCATGAAGTATTGAATGCATTGTTATTAGAATGTTTAGAGAAATTGAAAGACACAGTAGTGTAAAAGAAAGAAAATAAGGAAGTATCCTACTGCTAAAGGGTATGCATCAGGGCTGTGCGAAGCTTCGGGTGATGATTCTGCCTGATTCGGTGGCCGAATCTCCGAATCCGAATCGAATCAGGGGACCAGTTAAAAGGTATGAATCAATTCAAAGCTCTCCGAATCTTCAGAAAAGATCACCCCCCACCCGGCAGCTGAGTTGGGGCTTTTTTTTTTTTAAAGTGACAGGAGCTGGGGTGGGCAGAGCAGCCACTGCTGGGCTGGGAGAGCGGGTGGGGGATGGGTCTGGCTGATTTGGAGATTTGGCCAAATCGATTCAGGGCAGTGATTCAAATCACTGAATCAAATCACTGAATCGTCTGAATCCGAAGCGAATACTAGCTGCCTCGCACAGGCCTAGTATGCATCCCTAATTAAGTGACACCTTTCATATCTACAAAGAAGAATCTAGTCTGATCCAGCTCTGAAATCTTCAGTGAAACAAAGAAATTTAAATAAAGCCAATCTGGGACCTTTGATTAAAATTATTAAGATCTTGTTTACCAGCCATCCACAAATAGGGGATGTGACTGGAAGGAAGTTGGAGGGTAACTCTTCTAACAATAACATCTGTGGAACTGCTGTGCGTACCAAGCTTCTTGCCTGATGAAACGCTGAATGAAGACTTCCCCCCTCTGCTGTGGAGACTGCTGGTCAAGACTCTCCCACAAGATTATACGTAACCTTGGCAATTATATGTAACCTCTGCCTTGTTCTTGTCAATTAATCAATAAACTTCTCACTTTGGTTGGAATGACCCAAGGGTCTGTTTAAACTATTTTTCACTCTTCCCACCTTGCACAAAATTTGTTAACAATGTGTGCGTGCGTATGTGCCCATGTAACTTCCTAGGGATTTTTAAAGAAAACAAACTGAACAGAAACACAGCTTTGTGTGGCTTTACGTTGGCACTTCCATGGTTCATCAAGAAGGTTGAAGTGTTTTTTAAATCCATATCAATTCAACTGATATTGTGACTGACAGAAAACGTTATTTTTCTCCATGTGGATCAACACTACAAGGAGATAAGACTGTCAGCTTGCCAGTTGATTTCATAGATCCTGCTGACAGCAAGCAGTGGGGGGATTCCAGAATCTTGGGTTCCATTCCAGGCACTGGAGAGCATGCTACTTGAGTGGTCACAGACTCTTCTGACCCTCATGTCCTTTTGCACTGTTCCTGCAACCTTCCTTTCTCTCAATCTGTCTCTTTCCCACCCCTGTCTCCTACTTACCGTCCTGTTCTCCTCAGCTGTCCAGTCTCAGTCTTTACTCTTCAGACTTTTTATCCTAGTCTCCTTGCCAGAACAGCCCTAATCTTCCCTTCTGGACTCTCTATTCCAGTCCCAAGCTACTGGTACTTCCAGATGTTGCCAGTCTCCTTCTGAAATATTCCAAGTGCCTGTCTTCTTGCGTAGCTTATCTCAGTTTCCCTCCTCATTCCCACTTTCTTTACCACGCTAGTTCCAGTTTCCTCTTCCTTACTTCTTGTCCAGTGTTTCTTCTCTCCCTCAGGGGATTCCAATATTAGTCGCTTCCAAACTCTCCCCCAAACACAGACCCTGACCTCGGTCATTAATAATTCCAGTCTTTTTATCCAGCAACCCCACTTCTCCCTTCATATTCCAATTCCTCCTCAGATCTAGTCTCTCTCCTTGTTCCTAGTGTCTTTGTCCAGTCCATTACAGTCTTTCCCTCTTGCCTCCAGCTCTTTCTCTGATCTCAGTGTTCACTCCATTTTCAATTTTATTCCCAGTACTTGCCACCTCATTTTCTTCATTGGATTCCAGTGCCAAGTCTCCTCCCCTAGCTCCAAATCCCTGATTACCTTCTCCTTCCACAGCTCCTAGTCTCAATCTGCCTCCTCTCGGACTCAGTTTCTCCACCTCAGCTTCTAGTCAGTTTCTCTCTCACTCCAGTTCCAAACTTAGCAGATTCCTTTTCCCGGTCTATTAATTCCCCTTACCTGGCCTGGATCTTTACTCCCCTGTATTTGAGTAAGGCGTTTTCCTTCTCTTCTCTAAGCAGGTAAGTCATAAAACACAGGTGATATGGGCCCTTTTACTGTCAGTTGTGGTGCCTACTTCCACCTTAGTCCAGAGCAGCCTGGAGCAGCAATTACAGACAAACCTGAACTTTGCTCCTGCTGTACTGGAACATGCTCAGTTACTCTGTGCGCACAGCATTGTGCTTTGCAATTGCACATAGAAGGTGTTGTAATGAACTGTGATATAGCATCAGGAATTACAGTTCTCAGAAGGATGCTAGGAAAACAGTTAAAAAGTAGAGGGGGAGCTGGGATTACATGTGAAGAAATGGTTTGGTTGGAAGAAGAAAACAGAGAGAGAGAGAGAGAGAGAGAGAGA